ATACATATAACCTATTCTTCAGTTGCTTTGATTCCTTGAGGGGTAATTATAAAAACTTTGGCTTTTACCGGTGGCTCACTTCGATTTTCTAAAGTTGCTCCTTTTACTTGGATGAAGGGCCTTCTCAAATATTAAATTTCACTTAACTGGTTGCCTTCCAAAAGTTTGTACTGACTCCGCCCTTGAAATTTCAATGGTCTGCTATCCCTTTTCCTTTGCAACGACAGTTTATTTTGGGATGCCCAACTTCTTCACTTCTAAAGCACTTCCCTGATCCAACTAAACATTTCCCAAAATATTTTTTCTTTCACACTTTTCATAACTCGGCTTCTCTAATTGGACTTGCTTCTGCCTAATTTTCTTGCTCTTGAAATCTTCCCTTATCAAAACCTCTACCTTTATCTTTACCTGTTTGCTGTTCCCAATGCTTTATGGAATAACTTTTAACTCATTTTTCAGTTCACACGACCCTTTCAATTAACACTGAAAATGTATTTATTTCTAAAGATGTTAATGTGAATCTCAACTGATCTCCGAGGCATTGCTGAAATCTGTAATATACATGTTTTCCTGAGTATTTTCATGGTGAGAGGCATATTTGGAGAGAAAAGCGAATGTTAACGTGTACTGCATTACTAATTTAGAGTCTTGTGTTAGTTTGAAGAATTTATTATGAGGCGCCAACCCATTGATTGTGAACTAACTTGTCTTTAAAAATCTTTAGAAAATCATTCCACTGGATTAGTGTGAGAGTTGTCAGCCCAAGTTTTTTTCTTGTGCCATGCCTATCCCCATCTCTCCACTTCGCCTCCAACATAAAAGTTGCCAGCCCTACTCTTTGATTCTTCAAACAAATCGTACCATTCAAACTTTTTTCGATCTTCAATAACCATTCATCAATAATTGATATTGTTAGATGCTGATCCATCTTAGTACCAAATTCAGAGCTTAGTTCACTCTTTGCGGAAATGTTTTTAATAACAATCATCTACTGTTTGAGATATCAATTTGATAATACCCAGTGACTCGTTGTATTTGGTTTCCTCTTTTGCTTTATTATGAATCCCGCTTCTATTAGAGTTATCTCCTGCTTGCATTTATAATTCGTTAAGTGGCTTGGAAGGCTGTTTAATTATTCTTTCTGACATTTCTTCAGACATATTTATTGATAATTATATCATGCCAACCGGAATTTAATCTATCCATTAATCCGATTCATACAAAATCCAATCGTGCTTCCAATACTGCTGCAATTTCAAACATTCGCTCTGATATTATTGTCACTCCATTTGACCCCTTTGGGTCAAACAACTATGTAGCAGCATAGGATGACTCTGTTAAATTTAATTTCTACCGACACTTACTTTAACTTGCGCAAGTAAGAATAAAATGAGCGGAGGATTTAGCATCACTAAATCATCACAAGTAGATACTTATATTTTAAATACTTGTATTTTAATTCGTTCAATATTCATTCATATTAAAAAAAAATAAGAAAGCTTTCGAAAATAATTCTCACATCATACACAGAATTGCTACACTTAAATATAAAAACGTGCTCTTAAAAAAACTTCAATAATCATTTAAAATTGCATTCAAAAGCTGTATAAAAGGCAACATAACTAACTTTTAACCTACTTCTTATCCTTTTTTGAAAAACAACAATATATTATCGTGTAAGCTCAATCCTCAGTGAGATAAATCAATGCCAAATAAGATATAATAGATAAGACGCTAGTTAGTAGCTAATATGAATAATAACATGAAATGTAATATACATATTTAAATACTTGAAGATACATAAAACATGAATTAAATGTAGTATATAAAGTAATTGCATTAATTAATGCTTTTATTCCCTCTACTATGCATGCATGCCTTTACTTTATCTTTACTTTCATTTTTATCCTCAACTTTCTTGCCTTAGGAATATCACTTTATATTTGCATATGTTTTTACTTATTTTATTTTTCTTAGATTGCCAACTAACCCATCAACTACAATAACTGTTGATAAATGTTTATTATTTTATTTTAACACTTATCTGCTGCTCTTTGATATCAAATGGTTTACTCCAATCTCAATATTAAGAGTCAAAAATTAATCTTCTTTCTATCAAGGTTCATCTCGTTAGAATTTTGCCTTCACTACACGGGTCATCAATATATCTGTCTACCTATAACAATACATGACATTCGTTGATCAACTTTATCTGTTATAATTATTATATTTATGTAATTACTGTTTATCTTAATATATTTGCAATATCTTAGTTAACATGCACAAGAGTACAATAAGATCAATAAAATCAATAATTTATAATTAACTTATTTTTTTATGAAATATGTGGGTAATCGATGATATGAAAGCTTCTATACGTGAGTCACATCTGCCAATTATTTAATAAATAAATATTCTCATAATAATGACAAGTAATGATTTTATAAATTTTTTTGCTTTTTAATTTATCATTTAATTATCTCACTTTGTTTGCTGGGTTAACTTCGCTATTAATTTTCTCAAGCTTAACTTTAGTTTGCATCCTAGTTTAAACCTCAAAGGAAGCACAATTTCCTATAAATAATTAAGAAATTATTTAATTAATTCTTAAATTTATACATGAATAACCTCAAATAAATAATTTTACCTTAAATGGGCTTCATTACATTCAATTATATGTTCTACTATCTTCTTATTCCCCACTTTATGACTTACATACAAAATCTGCTCTCAATCGATTATCTAAACAAAAAATTCATGCAATCAAAAAGAATTTAATAGTTATTTATTAAGGGATTGTTTGGTTTTTAACAAAAGGAATATAGTGTAAATTGCAGTGTTAAAATAATGCATTGTATTTAAAATAATTTAATGTTGTTTGGTTTAGTGTAAAATAAATGCTTGATTTTGCTTTTTTATTTTTTGCTTGAAGAAAAATGAATTGAATATAAAATAAACCTATTAAGTTCGATGGTGGAGGGCGTTGGTAGTGATGATAAGCGGCTAGTGGTGTTGGTGAGCGATTGCGGGCATGCACCCTATTGTGGGTGGTGGCTGCGTGCAAGTGGTATGTGGTGGACAGTGGGTAGGCGATGGCGTCGTGTGGAGATGTTTGGTGGGCTGCGGCGGCAGGGGCGACGGGCAATGACAACGGGGACAATAGGCGGCGACATGGGCTGTTAGAGGCAGACCATAGCGACCAGTGATATCACTTAACGTGAAGCAGTGTGTTTGGAATTCGCCTAAATCCAACAAATTTCAGATAAATTGAATATGAATTAGAGAGTGAATTCAAAAAACATTGAAATTTTATATTACACTTATTTTTTTTCCGACCAAGCACTTAATTTTTTAAGTCCTTTGCAAAAGAAATGCAAGGCACTCCTTTTATTTGACAAAACAACCCCTAATTTAGATGGGATTAATACAAACATTTTTATAAAGATATTTATAAATAAGATTCTTTTCTCAATTCCTTCTCACCATATCTTCCCATTCCATTCTTCCTCTACCCTTCCTGTTCTCCCTTTCTTTTCTTTTCACGATTTTTTTCTTTCGCTTCTATCTGTCAAAAAAGCTCGTAGTTCATTCTTTCGCTTCTATCTGTCAAAAAAGCTCGTAGTTAACGAATAGTTCGTGTTCGGTTCGTGAATGAGTTCGTGTTCAATTCGTTCGATAAGTAAACGAGACGAACATGAACAAATTTTTTTCGTTCGGTTAGTTAAACTAATCAAACACGAACAGTGATGCGTTCGTTCGTGTTCGAATTATAAAATAATTATATATAAAAAATTTATGATATTTTAAAAAATTAAATTTTATAATTAATATACTATATTAGTAATATACTAATATAGATATTATATATTTATATAATATAAGTTATATAATTAATATAATATATTATTTATTTATATTAATATTAGGGATGTCAAACTGGCTCGTCGTTCGCGAACAGCTAGTGTTCGACTCGTTCGTTAAGAAACGAACACGAACAATGACTTCACGAACAATTTTGAACACGAGCTTATTTCAAACAATCTAAAATTCAAACGAACCAAACACGGATACAAGCTCTGTTTGTTCGTGTTCGGTTCGTTTACACCCCTACCCGAGAGCGAAAACTGCTCTCTCTTCACCGTTCTATCACTTGCTTTGATGTGAATTAGAGGAAAATGAGTGGCGAAGTAGGAAGGAAAAATACATTTTATTTATATATTATTAAACTGATTACTTAAACTTAGTTAATCCCTACCCTCAATTACTATCCTTCTGCATGTCATGGAAAGTGGGGGGTTGCCACAGTTTCGAGGTTATAATTAATAGAGATTAGTTATCTTAACTAAAGAGTTAGGTTAATGTAAATAATTATAGTATTTTAGATTTAGCAGGTCTGTACGCACACACAGATATATATATACATATATATATATATATATATATATTATATTATATTACTATATCTAAATTTGATCAATACAAAACATAGGATTTTATAAAAATAGTTCGGTTGAATTTAAGGAATGCAAAATTTGAGTCATATTTCAAAAATTTTTTCTTAGTTTTCTTTGTGGGTGTTTTTGGGTATTAAAACACTGTAGGCTGCAAGCCACACTGAACTTACTCACATAGCTACATAGTAGTTGCACATTATTATTAAAATGGCATGCATGGTGCCGTGCACTATTCAATATAACTCCGCAAGTATCTTTGCATTATGGTGGGCTATTCATCATTGACAAATATGTCTAATTAAAATTGTCACATGCAATTATTTGGAGGATTATCGAGGGATTTATTTCAAACATTTATAATTGAGATAGCCAAGTTTCTCCCAACGATAATATTTTAATCCTTTTTGTGTAGTATGCCTTATTGTTTATTTTGCCTTACCTAGATTTTCTATTTCTTTGTTCTTGTTTTAGGTCTAGTCTCTTTCCCATCCCTAACTTCCAGTGGCATATATTAGCATCCTGTATTTTAATGATATTTACTTGCAGTGACGTATTGGAGGAGTTCAAGCTGCCAAGTTTTGATCACATATCACCTACAATATTGGAGCTAAAAGGATTACCAAACTATAGTTCTCTTTTAATTGGTCACAATGGACTTGGTGATTTTGGCATATGGTATGCTTTTATCTTGCATTCATCTTTGCCACATAGATTATTAGCCCTGCTTGAATCCTTTTTTGCAAACGAGTTTTAAGTGTGAGTGAAAATTTGGAGTTCATGCGACATGTTTTGTACTATTGTTAGACTTGAAAAGAATAACAAACATCACATATCATAAAATCATCTTTTGCCTGAGCATCTATGCTGAACGATAATCCTATTTGCACTGGTCCTTTTTTACTTTTCCAGCTATATTAACATTTTTTCGATAGAAGTTGTGATTTCTCTCTTAAGAGAACATGTACATAAAATTATTGTTATGGGATCGAACTATGCGCTCTAAATTGAATCCAATGCATTATATCTGAAATGAAAGTTTTTTGATATCATCACAATCATGCGCTAAGAGTGCACTCAATCATATGGAATCCATGTGGTAGACATATCCATATTCATGATGGCCAAAAACAAAATGAAACGCTTATCCTAGTTGAATGGCTGGATATGATATTACTTCTTAAGACAGTGGAATATTTGTAGTTCAAATTAAGCCCAATTTATTAGTGATAGGGGCCCATCAATTCAATGCTTAAGCAAATTGTTTCACCACCAGATTTTTACTAAATTCTAAATCCTAAATTCAATTCTTATTTTCTTTTTTGACTTTTGGCAATCCCATTCGTATATGGATCTTAACAATCGCACCACATAATTAATTGATTTTGAACAGCTTTTTAGGTGCACTATCCAATTCATTGCCTTTCAAAAATATTTAGTTTTATCTTAGAAGTAATTTGTGTTGAAACTTGAAAATCATGCACAATCATATCTAACCATAATTTCTTCAGGGAAATTTCGAAGAGGGTGCTCCTGGCCAAATTTTCTTCTACTGGAAGCAAAATATTTCAAATTATTCCAATTTCTTTGTTCAATTGGCAAATGAATGCAACTTTTCCTGCCACTCTATCAGCAGAGCATATCATGGAGAGCATGCTGAAGATAAATTGCGAAATCTCCTTAGGATCATCTTTTGAAGATGTATCAATTTGGATTCTGATTTCTACCGCTCCTGACTTGGAGACAGAGTTTGAGGTAAAGAGAAGTCCTGCTGGATTATGGAGGCTGGCACTCATAACCAAAAACATGATCATAATGGGGAACATTTTGAACCCTAGGTACATTTAAATACTATCACTCTTCATGTTGTTGTTGCATGATGTTGCCATTAAAGCCTCATTTCAGTTTCATGAAATAGCTTTATTTCTTCCTGAAAATGCTTGGAGCTCTTTGACTCATTAGTAAATTGTAAGACAAAGGCCTATTTTGGAAAAAAGAACTTTTGGTTTGATGCTATTTGTTCATTTAATTTGAAACAACTTGAATCTACATATAAGGTGTAGCTTGCGCATGAAGAACTTATATAAGATATAGAGAGGTGGTTATTGTATGTAGCTTTGCCCCTATATTTGTTGAGTGACTAATTTTGTCACTTGAACTGATAAGTTCTATGCTGCAATAAAATCAATCTGATCACTAACTGTGGAAAGCTTAGAAGTTTGGCTCCTCTCCATCGTGGGTCTGCCTATTTCTTCACAAAATTATGGAAAAATTTGATTGGGAATATCTTTGAAAACCCTTTTCTTAGTTTTATTCTCTTCTTATTTTATGTTTTTTATTTTTTATTTCAGAATTATTTTCTTTTCTAATTTAGACTTAGATTTATTTGCCAAGTTTGTAAATTAGGAGGGATTGATTTTTCTATATATAATAATAATAATCTTTCCTTCCCATACATGTTTTCAACATGGTATTGGACCCCCAGTCCTCATCCGTTTGTCAAAGCCACTACTCATTTTGGAGGTTGAGATGCACTAATTGATTAGATCCTTGTAACCTTCAGCGACGTCTTTGGTCTCTGCCTTTGACATATTCAACTGTGTCTCACATCTGCTGTCATCGAACTATCTTCGACGCCGTTTTTGGTATTTTCTCCCTTCAACGTCTTTGATAGACAAAAGTTTACGTCTTCAGCAATGTCTCCGCACCTCAGTATTTCTTGTCGTTTTTGCTCACCAGTTGTGGAGCTCATGCACTGCTCGCACACATAATCTGTCTCTCAATCCAACTCTGCGTGCCCTAGCCGCAGCCGTCTCCTCCATTTAGACAGATCGGGCGTACGAGTCATTCATCTCGTTCGATCACTAAAGTCGAACTGTTGCCCGCTCCTACAACTGCTGGAGCCTCTCGAACTTCTGTTCCGTAGCTGGAATCCTCCTTGCAATTTTCTTCAACTTCTTGTAGGACTTCCTAGGCTCCCTTACCCAACCCTAAACATGCATAGGATTTATGGCCAAGTATGGAATTAAGATGTCTAGTTCTACTTCGCATGTTAGTTCTGAATCAAAGACCAGGAATTATGTCCATACAACCTCTGAACTCTTTACTCTTATCACAAGCCAATAAGTCAATGGCCAATTTTCTTTAATGGTCCTAATTCATGTTTATATACATTTGTGAGAAAAGAAAAGATGAACACCTCATGGGAGATGACACAATTATTGAGTTCACTGATCCTAACCAACGCACATGGATGATTCAAGACCATATATATATGCCTTGGTTAGTCAACTCAATGACTAGTGAAGTGAGAGAAAATTTTTGTACTACGTAATTGCCATGGAAATCTGGGAGGATATAAGAGAAACATATTTCTTACTAAACTCCCTTGATATAATAAGTTAGTTGGAAAGCAAATGGGCATTAAACATCAAATACAAACTTGATGGTGGTATTAAGAGAGTTAGAGCCAGAGTTGTTGCAAAATTTTTCACTTAAGTTTATGGGATTTGCTTTCAGGAGTCTAGTACTCATTTTTGGTGGAGAGTTGCTCTCGATGCCCTCCCAACTCATTCTTTGCTCAACCGAAGATGCCTCTTGGAGGATACGACTTGCCCTTGAGGTTGTGTTGAACATGAAAGCACTGAACATGTAATTGCGAGTTGTAAAATCCTTATCAAGGCTAGATGTAAATGATAACAATTGGGCTTTCCCATCCTCATTTTCAACTCCCTTATTGAAGTTATTGAAGGTCTCTCTTTTTCAGATAACTGCAAGGCTGGGCATCGCTTTTTCTATTGCAAGTTGGTGTATCAATGCTAGGGGGCCCACAACATTAAGAAGCATGGTGGCACCCCAACTTTCCTCGCCTCCAATGCTCTGGATGCCATGACCGCACCCACAAATTCCATTTTTGAAGCAATGGGATACCAATTAGTCTAACCGATTGTTGCAAGCCTTCCAAGTGGTGTCCCCTCCCCCTTTGAGATAGCTTAAATTTGACACGAATGGGGCTTTACTCCCCTCCTGTACGGGTGGCATCGACATTGTTCTTCTTGATGAAACGCGCGTTGTTTTTTTATGGCTGGCGAGTCTTTTGAACATTGGGACAACACTTATGTGGAGCTCCGGGCTATTTGTTCTATCAAAATGCTTATCAAGCCTTGGATGTACAAAGCTATGAGTATTATTATTGAAAGACAACCACATCTCCTCGCTTAAACAATGCAAATCCAATGAGGTATGGAAGGCTAAACCGCAAAATGTTGAAGATTTTTCTTTTTTGTCTACTTTTAGGTATTTTTTATTTCAGCACATAAATAGAAAGATAAACATGATGGCACATGTTTGTGCTCATAGGGCCTTACATGATAGTTTTTTTTGTTAGTATGGTGGATAATTCCCACTCTTTTATATTTTTGTTGGTTTTGTCCGATCCCATATTTTTGCTGGCTTGGTTTAGCTGTTGTTCTTTTGTACTTTTGTAACCCTCTTTTATTTTTGTTTATGCAAAATGCATATTTCAAGTGTTTGAATTTCAGGAAACATTCGCACCATTTGCCAAACAAATACTAGCGGAGTTTTCCATTCAGTAACAGACTAAGGAATGCCAACTGCATCAACTTAACTTAATGGGGATCTGGAAGAAGTATATACCATTCGAGTATGAGAATGATTCTAACAAACATCTATTATAGAAACTCAAGGAGTATTTATATGGGCTTAAGCAATCGCCGAGAGCGTGGTTTGAAATGTTTGCTGAAATTATGAGTTCTAATTGATTTCATCAGAGTCAAGTTGATCATACTCTGCTCATCAAACACACTCAGGGAAGTAAAATTATTGCCTGATAGTATATGTGGATGCTATGATTCTTATTAGTGATGATGAAAGAGATTCTCAAGTCATGGAAGTGCTTGCTAGTGTTTGAAATCAAGGATATAGGAACCATGAAATATTATTTAAGTATGGAGGTAACAAGGTCCAGAAAAAACATTATTATATCATAGAGGAAATACATTTCAGATCTACTAAAGGAGACATATGACTGGATGTAAGCCTGCTGATACTCCAATGAATCCCAGTAAGAAATCTAATAAGTGAGAAGAAAGTGTATCTGTGGATAAGGGAAGATATCAAAGATTGGTAGAAAAACTTATCTACTTCTCATATATGAGACCAGATATTACATACTGTGTCAGTATTGTAAGGCAATACATGTATAACCCAAATGAAGAGCTTTTGAAAATGGTGTACATATTTCAGAGGTTTCTCGAGAAGATTCCGAGTTATAGATTAATTTTTAAGAAAACCAGAAATAGAGATAAAAATCTATATTAATGCAAGTTGGGCTTGGGAACTGACTGAGAGAAAGCTTATCTCAGGTTATTGCTTCTATATGGGGAAATCTGGTTACATGGAGAACTAAGAAGTAAGTTGTTGTTTCTAGAAGTAGTGCTATATCAAAGTATATGACATTTGTTTTGGGAATCTGTGAAGGGATGCATATTTAGAAATTATCAAAGGAATTGGGGTGCACCTCTAATAGACCTATACAGATGTTTTGTGACAATCAAGCAGCCGTCAGTATTGCCAAGGATCTAGTGCACCATGACAGGACCAAACTTATTGAGATTGATACACTTATCATTGAAAAGGTTGATGGTGGAATTATACAACTAAGCTACATCTCGCCACACCAACAAGTTGCTGATGTTTTCATCACAACTCTTCTTTTAAGCACTTTCTCTGAGTTCAATACAAAGTTTGGCTTCTACAACATCTACAATCCAACTTGAGGGGAAGTGTGGAAAGCTGAATAGTTCGGCTCCTCTTCATGGCGGGCTGGTCGGCTGCTTCACAAAATCATGGAAAGATTTGATTGGAGATTTCTTTGGAAACCCCTTAGTTTTATTATTATCCTATTTTATGTTTCTTTATTTTTTATTTTAGAATTATTTCATTTCCTAATTTAAATTAGATTTAATTGGTAAGTTCGTAAATTAGGAGGGGTTGGTTTATCTATCTATCTATATATATATATATATATATATATATATTTGGGGAATGAACATTATACGGCTTCGATCCTATTAATTTCATAAAAGGAGTTACAAAAGAGGGGGGTGGATCCCCATAGCAAAAGAGAAAAAAAACTAATTCAAACAACACAACCTTAAGGGTTTCCATCTCCCAATTACAACTCCACATAAAAAAACTCAAAACAAAACATACAAGTATACCCTCAAAAGAAAAATACAAGTATACCCTCCAAAAGAAAAAAGAAGTTTAGCCTAGCCATCTGAAAATATGCATTGAGAACCGAATAGCACAACAACAGGCAGAGGAAACATGTGTGCGGGAGGAGAGGCCGTTCAACCACCGAGGGGAGGTAAAGTCGAGAGGAAAACCTATCCAAAAAACATGCTAGTACACCACCAAAGGAAGCAAATATTTGTACCTACATAAAAGAGAACAAAGTAGAGTTGTCCAGAAATCTGTAAAAAGCAGACAAAAGATCCATATTAATGAGAAACAGGTGAAAGGTCCAGATAAAAGAGATTCAGGGTTATCCGTAGATGAAGCCACCTAGCCCCAGCTAGGCTCAAACCGAAGAAAGAGCAGCCTTTCACGGAAAAACAAAATAACCCAGACCAAACCATAGTATCACAATCTGGATATCCATCTCCAGGCATCTCCAGTCTCCAAGAAGCAGCAGTAAAACAAAACAAAAGGCTTAGAAAGGCATCATAAGCCTCATTGCAGCAAACCATCAAAATCTTCATGACATAACCAACATAACCAACACGCATCATAAGCATGATAGTGGGATTACCGT